ATTTTCATGAAATTGTTTTTTTAAATTGGGGGTGTTTGGCTTAAAGTTGTCCTTCCCAATTAATAGTATAGATTGTAAGAGCTTGATTATATATTTGGTTAAAACTTTTGTTTTCAATTATATTTCTTCTTTATTTTATGTACTTCTTCATTTTTTTTATTGTCTTTTATACTATTAAATGTATAATACATATGTATAATAATATTTTATGGCTATAAGGAAATTATTTTATCGATGGGATTCAAAAATATTGATTTCTGACCATCGCACCATAAGAAAATCAAGCTAAATAAACCATCTTCATTGCTTTACTTTAGATGTTTTTTTCTTTCTCACATATTCATGTATAATTATTTTATTTTCAAAGTATGTAATTATTTTAACAAAATAATTTTTTGTTATATTCAAACCAATTTGTAAGACACTGAAATAAATAAAATTTTATACACAAATAAAGGTAATTTGTGTGTATATTTATAAGTTTACACACATATTTGGATAAATTTCAACATTTTTAGTGGTTGTTTTGATAAAGTTTGAAAAGGGGATAAATTTAAAAAGTGATTTTTTAAAAGGGTATTTTTTAAATTCTCCCAATATCATTCCTATTTTTATCATTAACAATATTATTGTTTTATCAAAAAATACTTAAAAGTACTACAGAAAATTACTATCAAAATTGAACAATTAATCAACGAATAAATTCAAAAAATATGGATGTATGCTTATATTGTATGATTTAAATAAATAAAATGTAAAAATGTCATAAGCATTGAAATTTATTTAATCTATTTTTTATAAGTAAAAATTAATTAAAATTAATTAAATAAATATACAACAACCCGCGCATATGCGCGGGACATTATCTAGTGACAATAAAGATAACCTTTTTATCTTAATGTTAGAGAATTTTACACATACGTTCTGAAGATGAGTATAACGTAAAATAGACACCGACAAAGATATATAATTAATAACGACAAATATATTAAACTAATAACGACAAATATATTAAAGTAATGACGTCCGGACGTTGTCGAGACAGTAGCAAAGTCAGATGAAACCTGTGGACGAAAATAAACCACCCATTGAAAAAGAGTTTTTGATGTTATCTCCAAACAGTGGACCAAAGCTGCATTCGCTTTTGTGTTAAAAGTTGAGTGCGTACGTGAGTTAGCATAGATTGAGAGGCTTATCGCGATGGGAGGAGACGGTGGTGCTGAGCAGCCCGTGATTCACTTTGTGTTTGTTCGAGGTGCCAGTCACGGTGCTTGGTGTTGGTATAAACTCACCTCTCTTCTAGAAACCGCCGGATTCAAAACCACCTCTGTCGACCTCACTGGCGCTGGAATTAGCGTCACTGACTCTAATACCGTCTTTGACTCCGACCAATATAACCGTCCTCTCTTCTCTCTCTTGTCTGATCTCCCTCCATCCCACAAAGTCATACTCGTCGGACATAGCATGGGCGGAGGCAGTGTCACCGATGCTCTATGCAAGTTCACCGACAAAATCTCCATGGCCATTTACCTCGCGGCTTCCATGGTTCGACCCGGATCCGTCCCTTCTCCACACGTTTCAGACGTGAGTGTGTGACTCGCTTACTAATTAACTCACCTCTCTGTTCTTGTCATGATCTAAAAAAAGATTATATCAATCTACTACTCGGTATTAAACTCTTGTGATTGTTTTATAGATGCACGCAGATGCAAGAGAAGAAAATATATGGGAGTACACATATGGTGAAGGTACAGATAAGCCACCCACCGGAGTCATCATGAAACAAGAGTTTCTACGCCAATATTACTATAGCCAAAGCCCTCTTGAGGTTACTCTCTTATTTACTTCACAAGCTAATGTTTCAATACTACTATTGTGTGGTTATTGAATATGGTTATTGGTAGGATGTAAGTTTGGCAACTAAACTGCTGCGTCCTGCTCCTATGAGGGCATTTCAAGATCTTGATAAGTCGCCTCCGAATCCCGAGGTAGAGAAAGTCCCGCGAGTCTACATCAAGACTGGTAAGGATAATCTATTTAGCTCCGTGCGTCAAGACCTTTTGGTGAAGAATTGGCCACCCTCTCAGTTCTATGTCTTGGAGGAGAGTGACCATTCTGCTTTTTTCTCTGTGCCAACCACCTTATTCGTCTATCTCCTCCGTGCCGTTTCTTTTCTTCACAAATAAAACTTTATTTAGTTTGATCATGCACATATTGATTTCAATGGTATGAACGATTTGAAGGTGGTTGATATGAGATTATGATTTCATCAAATGGTTTGCCTCTTATGTTAATTTCATTTGAGTTTGAATAAGCTTTACATGTCAAGCAAAGGGAGATTAGATATCTTGGTTTCTTTGTCAAAATATCTATCATAGTAGCTAAGATTAAGTTTCATTGCGAGACAAAATATACTTAAATCACTGATGTGATTACAAGAGAGAATTAGAAGACGTCTACGTCTCTTTTTCTTTCTTTCTTTTCTTAACGTTTGTGAGTGAAACTAGGTTGTTTGAAATACTTGTCACTAGAAAGTACACAAATGTTGGTTTTGTACTCTGTGTCTCTGTCCAATACAGAGCAGACAGTACTCACTAAAATGCATGCACTTTGTGTTAAGAAATTGAGTAGATTATTACTATTGTTTTTTTTTTGTCAACAACAAAACTAAAATTGTCTCCTTAGAGTCAATTGGGAGGACAAATGTTTACGAGAGACCGTGGGTGGAGAGACGGTGGTGAATCATATGAATGGATGAATCCGTAATTCACTTTGTGTTTGTTCCATAGGGCCAATAATAGTTTAGTCTATGACCAAAGTCCAAAGCCCTCTAATTTTTTTTTATTGGTAGAATGCAAAGCCCTCTAAATTGATGTGAACTTTATCATACAAATTATGAAACAAACAAGGCGTTCAAAATAAGAAGAATACCATGTCATAAAATTTCATGAGATTCTTAACAAATCTCTGATATTAATTGGATTAACGTACGACATAAATGTCAACAATATCATATAAAAAAGTATTAAGATAACGTACATCTGGTGACCTTTTTTTTTTTTTTTTTTGAAAACGTATTTGCTGATATTAATATGTTGCAGATTTTATTAAAGTATTTTTCACGTTTTAAAAGTAATAAAGTTCGCAAATTGAAGATGATGTGGTCTATTATTCTTGCTTATCACGTTTACTTGACTTTTTTCATTAAAGTTTAAGGACAAAAGAAATTAAAATAAATTCCCAAACCAAATTGAGAATCTACCCGTACGAAAACTATATATATCACATTTTTTTTGGGGCGAACATTAAACCAATCTCAAAGAATTAGAAGACGACGACGACCACTGATTCAGCGGAAGAGATGAATTCGAGAGATCAGGTACGAGCATCATCATCAGGTGAGAATCTGGATCTGTATAAACATAGGGAAGAAGATGAAGAAGGGTTTATGTCGGTGGAGAAGATATGTCGCCTTCCTGTTTCTATAAGATTTAATCTACCAAAGAAAAACTCTACAAAGAGAAGAAGAGAATCTAGAGAAGAAGATGGCGAGAAGAAGAAAGCGAAAATGAGTTCTGGAGATAAGGTTTTGAGTATCGATGAGATTAGGATAGTGAGGAGGCGAGGGTATCTGAAGGATCGAGAGAAGAAGAAGGTCGAGGAGTTAAGGGATGCGATAGAAGACGAGATTATGTTCTTTGATGGTGTGAAGGTTACTGAGAGAGAAGAAATTGCGCTTAGACATAAGATAGAGTTGTATGAATTGGTGAAGAAAACAGAGGATGATGATGTTGAAGGGTATAGGATTCCAGATGCTTATGATCAAGATGGGTGTATTGATCAGAAGAAGAGATTTGCTGTGGCCGAGCAGCGTTATAGTGAGGGGAAGAGGACTGGGAGAGTCGTTACCGAGCAAGAAGCTTGGGAGGAACATCAGGCGCAGAAAGCTAGAGTAGGTTTTGGTGGAAAGGATAAGAAGCAAGTTTGTGATGGGTATGAGTTTGTGTTTGACGAGTTAGCAGGTTTGGTTGAGGAATCTAGTAGTGAGGTGGAAACTGGGAAGCACCGACGTTGTTACTCGAAAACAGTTGCAGATAAGGCTCGGGAAGAGAGGGAGTTTCTTCCGATTCATGGATACCGGGATGAATTGCTGTATCTCATTGAAAAAAATCAGGTTCTTGTGATTGTTGGGGAAACGGGATCAGGGAAGACTACGCAGATACCACAGTATCTTCAGGAAGCCGGTTACACAAAGCGTGGAAAGATCGGTTGCACTCAGCCTAGGAGAGTTGCTGCTATGAGCGTCGCTTCCCGAGTGGCTCAAGAGGTTGGTGTTAAACTGGGACATGAAGTTGGGTATTCCATCAGATTTGAAGACTGTACTTCAGATAAAACAGTTGTGAAGTACATGACCGATGGGATGCTGTTGCGAGAGCTACTCACAGAACCGAAACTTGATAGCTATAGTGTGATCATAATTGATGAGGCACACGAAAGAACCCTGTCCACTGATATTTTGTTTGCCTTAGTTAAGGATGTAACAAAGGTTAGGCCTGATCTGAGGTTAATAATCTCAAGCGCAACGCTTGAAGCTAAAAAGTTCTCCGAATACTTTGATTCGGCTCGGATTTACCTAATCCCAGGACGAAGATATCCAGTTGAAAAGCTATACAGAAGATGGCCTGACGCTGACTACTTGGAGACAGCAATACGTACTGTGTTTCAGATCCATCAGACTGAGCCGACTGGAGACATTTTAGTTTTCCTCACAGGTCAAGAAGAGATTGAAACAGCAGAAACAAAGTTGAAGCGAAGGATGATAGATTTGGGTACAAAGAGCTCTGAGATCATTATCTGTCCTATCTACTCAAATCTCCCAACCGAACTACAGGCAAAAGTGTTTGAACCAGCTCCTAAAGGGTCGCGGAAAGTTGTCCTGGCAACCAATATCGCAGAAACATCATTAACCATTGATGGGATAAGGTACGTCATTGATCCGGGATATTGTAAGATCAACTCATACAACCCGAGAACCGGAATGGAGTCATTGCTTGTAAGTCCTATTTCCAAGGCCTCCGCAGAGCAACGAGCTGGTCGGTCTGGAAGAACAGGTCCAGGAAAATGTTTCCGGTTGTACAATGTAAAGGATTTGGAACCCACCACAATACCGGAAATCCAAAGGGCTAACCTTGCAAGTGTTGTGCTTACTTTGAAGAGTCTTGGGATTCAAGATGTGTTCACTTTTGATTTCATGGATCCTCCACCAGAAACCGCTCTTTTGAAGGCTCTAGAGTTGCTCTATGCTCTGGGTGCTTTGGATGGAAATGGTGAGATTACTAAGGTAGGAGAAAGAATGGTGGAGTTTCCAGTTGATCCGATGCTATCAAAGATGATTGTTGGTTCGGAAAAGTACAAGTGCTCGAAAGAGATAATCACGATAGCCGCCATGTTGTCTGTAGGGAACTCAATCTTTTATCGACCAAAGAACCAGCAACTTCTCGCCGACAATGCTCGGATGAATTTCTATGTAGATACAGAGAATGTAGGCGACCACATTGCGTTGTTAAGGGTCTACAATTCCTGGAAAGAAACAAACTACTCGACTCAATGGTGCTACGAGAACTTCATTCAGAGCAAGAGTATGAAAAGAGCTAGAGATATACGTGACCAGCTGATTGGACTTCTAAACAAGATTGGAGTAGAACTTAATTCCAATCCGAATGATTTAGACGCAATAAAGAAAGCGATCTTGGCCGGATTCTTCCCGCATTCTGCAAAGTTACAAAAAGATGGATCGTACAGAAGAGTGAAAGAACCTCAGACAGTTTATGTACATCCTAACTCAGGCTTATTTGGGGCATCACCTAGTAAGTGGTTGGTGTATCATGAACTAGTACTTACTACCAAGGAATATATGAGGCATACAACCGAGATGAAACCCGAGTGGCTAATTGAAATAGCTCCTCATTACTACAAGCTTAAAGACATTGAAGACACTCAGCCAAAGAAAACACACAGAAGAAGCGAAAGAGCCTCAACGTCAAAGGTTGATACTCACAAGAAAACCCGGACATCAAAGGTCGATACGAACAAGAAAGCAAAGAGGTAACAACCAAACTTAGTCATATCTCTTTACTGTTTCTGAACGAAGTTAAAAAAATTGTGCTACTAGAACTTTTTCATCCATTCTCTCTGGAAGATACTTTTATGTTTAGTCGGCATCAATTTTTTTTATCATTACTAACTACTGTTCCTTTCCATCTTATAAACGCATGATTCTGAGTTATTTCGAGTTTACTGGGGACTATAGACAACTGATAAGAAAGGGGAAAATCAAGAATTCAACAGCGACTGAAAAACTCACCGGGTATATACACGGGGAAGATGCCAGGATTTTCACGGGTGGTGGAGAAACACCTGGACATTCTTCCGGTGAGATTCATTAGGCCTTAGAATAATCTTCTTCATTATTTCCAGAAAAAAAATGTTTACAACTGACTGAAATAAAAGCTGCCGAAGATGAAAAAACATCACACCTACTTACAGATATGTATATGTAATGAAAATAACCAACACTAATACTGTTAAAACAAGACATGACTTATGTGTTATGTGCTATCGGCAATGTTTGTAGTTTCAAGAGAAGTGTTGGTAACCTCAACAGCAGTTACCCGATGGAGAAGATTCCGGATGCCATCCACCCATGTCTGCTTATCAGCCTTGCTCTTGCACTTGAACTTCGTTAGACCTTTCCCAGTACTGATTCCTAAGTAGAGCTCTTCTTCTGCGTTTTCTGTTTCTTTTCCATTTTGCAGGCCCGAGACGATCTCGCATACATCATTTACAATTCCTGTAGTGTGTAGTGATTTAACCATTGGATCAAGTAAGCATTGGAAAAAGTCTCAAGACTACTTTGGCTTTACACAAATGAACACCACGACCATTGAAAGAAAGAAGAGATATCTGAAGGTGACAATAGTTAGTTAACTACCTTTGCTTTTCATGGAGAACGCTCCTCTGACGTGTTTGCTTTTGATTTCTACTACAACCTGCAAGAGAAAACGAGTTGAATGTCAACTCTAGAATTTGACAACCATAAAACTTGTTTGCTTTGATGAGTTTTCGCTTTTTTTTAAACCTGAGATCTCTTGTTGATGTACACTTTTATATGCTTCCACCGCAAAGCTCCTGAAAGGTTCATAAGTCGGTTCATCAATATCGGTAAGTGAAAGTTATTTGTTGTTCAAATTACATAGGCCGAATATACACTTTCTTGAAATAGAATATCATCATTCACAGCAATCAGGAAAGAAGAAGCTCTCTTGCTGAAAATATTACCGTTTCGTGTGCACTGCATTAGATCTCCAGTACAATCCAGTTTTGATTCTTCATCTCCCTGTGCAGAGATCTGTTCATCGGTCGTGCTAGCGCAATCGAGCTCAGAAGAACAGTAATGAGTTTCTGGTAAAGCTCTTTCGCAAGGGCTTATAGCTGCGTTGTTCTTAGCTTCCTTTGGTAGTCTTGCCCTCAAAGCTGCTTCTCCTCTCAATGCTACATTATCAAAAATGCCATAAACATAAATCTTATCATGACATCAAATCGAATGATCAACTCAAATATGCATTGGACTAAGTTTTACGCCATTGTAGCATTCAAGAAAGATCTGATCAAGGTCAAGGATGAATTTACCAGTTGCAGCTGCAGCAGTTAAAGTCAACAAATCGCCAGGTCCACGAACATCTACGGCAGATCGGACTGCAGAGACGACACGATCGTGACCGGCTCCGGAGAGCTCCGCCAATTCGAGGCAGTGAGAAGCCAACAGCTCCGAAGCCGAAGCCAGCGCTGAACTCATCGTCTTTGATTCCGTGAAGCCGTCTTGGCTGCACGAAGCTGTCACGGCGGCGATGGCCGTCGCCAGAGACGCAATCGATACGGCGGAATGAAGATGCGCATTCTCCACTCGAGCTTTATCTCTCTTTCTTACGGCGGAGCCCTTACCTCCGACAATTTCTCGGTGGTGGAACCATTTACCGAGCGTTCCCGTCCTCCGCGCGTTTACCACACTCGCTAGCTTTCCCGTCTGTCGAAGAAACAGTTTAAATATTATGGGCTTTTCCAAGATATGGTTATTATATAATTTTGGGCCTATGAACAAATTATTGGCCCGTACGATAAAACACCTTATTTGCATGATCGTAGCATACAAATCATAAAAAGACAGTAAAACTGAAGATGTAGAAGCAAGAGAGACTTACTAGTAGCGGCGGTGGTGGTGGAACTGGTGGTGATGGTGCCGGAGCCGGCGAAGGGACGGCGTCCAACTTAGAAATATTAGATTCTTTGTTGGTTTGTTTATTAGGTTTCTGAGAAGACAAAGCTAAAGAGATCTCAGACGTAGACATGCTCCATGATCTGCATAGAAACTCCATAGGCTCTCTCGGAGTTTTAGGCGGAGGAGGGATCGGAGGATACATAGCTGGAGATGAAGAACACTCCGACGTATCGTTTTCCGGCACCGACGACAGCGTCATGCTCTCGTCATCTCCTTCTAACTCTTCGATTTCTTCTTCCTCGGCTACTTCTTGTAGTCCGTATGGAAACAAGTCGAACGTACGGTCATGATCCATTAATAAAAGATTCAGATCTCTCTGTGTTTGTGACAAGAATCAAATATCTGATCACTTAAGCGTACTGATCTGTATAAAATATCTTACTATATGTTTTTAATGTGTGTAAGAGGATATCTTATAAAAATATAAGCACCTACTGACACACACACCACACCATGGTTGGGATTTTATATATATAGAAGAAAGAGATGGCTACACTAAAAGGGTCAAAGAGAACATCTTTGACAAGGCACGTTTTAATGCAAGACGTGGATCTTGTCCCTAGCTATATCATTTTGATATGGACTATATATACTTTTTGTAACTACAAGATCGAGGGCCATATTTCAATTTAATCTTGAGGGTGTCACATACTGTACAATGTATTTTCTCATTAAGACTGACCATATGTTACCGAAACAACACTATAGTCTATAGATATAGAAATAACTCGAACTCTGGTCGCATAACTTTCATTTTGATTTACTGATTTGTAAACCCCTCACTATGAGTAGGAGAAAAAATTAATTCTAAATTATTAACCCTTAAAAAGAAAAAATCTTAATTATTAGTTTCTTCATATATTTAAGTTACAAACATTTTGTGAAAAGATATATTGTACATATATGTCGAGTTCTGATCGGAAATAATAAGTTGAGGACTTATTAAACTACTATTAGTTGAGGACTTATTAAACTACTATTTTAGTTACGTAGATTTTATTAAACTACAAAGCTGTTTTTTTGGTGATTTAAGCGATTGACATGCATATATAAATTAAAGATATGAAATTTTTATCAGTTCATACAAAACATTGTAGTATGATTCATACTAGTTTTTTTTAATTGAATTCAAATAATAATAAAAATACATATAAAACGATTGTTATAAAAAGATTATACCATAAGTTGCATTTCAATCACATCGATAAGACTTGCACATGGAAGCATTTATTGGATACTATTGTATACATAGAATTGATTGATATCAAATAGTGACAATAATGTAGTTGAAGCAAATGGACAGAAATGATCATCTTGTCAAAGACTACTTATTATGATGAAAAAGTTACTTTACAATAATCAAATCACCAATCTTTCAAACTTGGATTAACTTTTAGGTTGAAATTAACGTTTGATACTTTCATAATTGACAGAATCAATTCGTACGATAACCCATTCATCATAAATTGTAGCCACCCTACCACATCCATTGATTTACGTTGGCTAAGCAGAACAATATAACTAAAAACACTTCATATTGTGGTCATGATTTTGTTGGTTGATACTTGATGATTATGCTTCTTACGTTTATTTTGGGATTGGTTTGATAATTACTTCCGTCTAGTATTGTTGTTTTTGACTCCTATTTAAAACATAGCTGTCAAAAAAACGAGACTACTATGAACTATCAAATCAATTGGTGCATATCCGTTTTTCTTACACGTTACGTACCATTTTTATTTAATTTATGCACTACAAGAAAAATGATCTTTTATAACACACGAAAACAGCTACTAAAAGTCTTTCGTAGCGTATTCATAAACGCTATGATATGAGGAGCTATGATAGACTCACCCCTATCATAACGTAGTTAATGAGTTAAGAAAATTAACCTATCATTGCTCTAACCGCATGCTATTTATTACTTTTTGGTAGCGCCTGTTTCTTGCTATTATGTTTTTTATTATAGCAAATATAATGAGCTGTATTATATATAATGATAGCACATTAAATGTGCTGGTGGTTGGATATGGTTCTCGAATTTAACACAATCTTAGCATAAAGACCCTGCTATTGTAAAGTTTTATATAGTAAATTTATCTTGCTATTGTATATTTTTTAATGGCAATTATACCTTACTATACCATCATTTACAAGAGCATTTATCAATTGTCATTGAATATTGTTTTTGAGTTTTTTTTCGTGCTAATATGTTATAAAAGACCATTTTTCTTGTAGTGATGGTCATGTTTTTTTTGTTTATATAGTTTGATAGTTATATTTTTAAAAAAATTATTTAATTTTGGCAATGGTTACTACTTCATATAGTAACTTATTATATATTTCATCTTTAGTTAGTCCACTTCCAAACGAGTTTTTGTTTTTGTTAAAACTTAAAACCATTCCAAACGAGTTAAGTCATTGTCACTTTGGGATTGGAAGATAAACTATATATATATATATATATATATATTTATTTAATGAAAGCTAACCAAACTTCAATAATACTATGAGATACTGTTGTCTTTGGTCCTATCATAGTTTCTATTTTCTTAGTCAACTATATTTAAATAGTCAGTAAGCTAAGTGATTTAATAAACTCAACAGTTAGTTTTTGAAAACGGTATTTGTTCTTACAAAAATTTGAGATACTTTAACTGGTAGAATCAAAATTACGTATGAATGCATTCCCAAGGCTTTGGCATGATGTATTACTAATAGGAACTTTTCATATAACAATTAATCATTTTAGATTATTTAGTACACAATTGGGAATTCATATGGTTGGGTTTTATAATTGTCATTGAGGAAATTAACCTACCGTGAGAAAAAAGGTAAAGAACAAAAAAAAAAAAAAAAAAAGTTATCAGAGGATCAAAATCTTGCATGAGGGGAAAATAATTGTCTTTTGTTTGGTGCAATGTCGTTTTCAGTTCCACATAATGGCGGTGCGAAACGAAACCCTTATTGATTGAAACTTTGCAAGTCCCACCACACTTTTTGCATACCAAATTATCATTATAGATAGTTTCTCTTTTATCTTTCTAGGATTAGAATAGGAATGATTATGGAGTTGACGAAATGATTTTTCATAATTAAGTTCATCCTTGAATATAATCAACAAGCTCAAAAATTCAACTATGAAAAGAAAACATGCAGTTGAAAGATTCATGATAAAGACTGATTCATCATGAAAACATTTCTACGAATTAAATTTACTAGTATTTTGAGTTAATTAATTAGAAGAGTCGTCTGGTTTGCCATAAAGTCTATAACATAAATGATTATAGCTTTAAGTAGATCAAGTTCTAAGAACTACTTATAAGTATAATATATTGTTTTGCTTAATTATTATTTTTTAAAATTCAGATATATTTTGGACTTGAATGATTCATAAGATAAGTTATGTTTGTATTATACTATATACTAAGTATAGGAATAATGAATTTGGGGTGTACGTGAGCTGTAGTGTCAAGTGTACTACAGCTTCAACGACATCCTCCACCTGATTTCAATGTGTTTATTACGTTTTGTGTCTTTTCTTCTTCTTCTTCTTCTTCTTCTTCTTCTATCTCTCTCTCACGCGTTTTTAGTCACCACCTTCACACCGACGCTTTCGTTTCTTTTCTATTATTAGTATTTAGTACCCTATTATATATCTTACTATCTATCTTCCCCACCAACTTTTTTTCTTCTTTTGTTTTGTCTCCACAAGAATATTTTACTACATAAGTATAATGGTGTTTTGCATAATTGCATTGATAGAGGCCGGCCACACAAAAAGGTTGTATAGATGCCGGCCACATTATTGGTCCATCTTCCTAGACAGTTCCGATGGACATCACTCTTTACTTGTACAATTCCGAGATTTCTAATCTACTGAGCACAAAAGTTTCTTACAGTCTACTGTCTATAGAATGAATCTTCACATGGGGCTGACATGACACTAGATGCACTGTGTAATGTGCCTTGTGTATGTCAAGCTAGCATGCTCTCCTTACACTAGGTGATATAAATATACATATCTAGTTATATGCCAAGGTTATGATCACATTCATTCACGTCGCATCAAATTTTCCGAAAACACACTGCAGTCAATCGTCTAGTCTAGGATTTACCTTTATTTCAATGTTTCCTATAAATTTATCTTCACTATTTCCAGAGATAATGGCAATGGCTCTACTACTAAAAAGGATAAAAAACCGATTAAATCAATCAAAAGTGATCTCACACACACACTAAAAGTAAAAGGTGCTCATAATATTGCCTCTCTTTTGTTCATCTTTTTACCAAAGTTTTGAAATCTAGTCCGTCTAACTATATTCCTATTCCATACAGTTGTTAGTGTGTATGTCAAGTTGGTGTAGCAATCTATAATGATTACATGTTTAAATGTTAAGTTCCAGTATAATGAAGATTCAATTAAACGAGACCAAAACTTTGATAATAATGAAAACATAAAAAAAAAAAAACAGAATATGATGTGATGTGAAGAAGTTGAGGAGAAAAAAGGAACAAAATCCTTTTTGCTCATCTCAGCTGCCCTACTTTTTAATCCTATTTGCCCTCTTAAAAACAAAACACAAAATTTAAGCTTTAGTGAAAACCTCTATTTATTATTGTATATGTTAATCAAAGCTCGTCTTTGGCAGCTTCATCGGAAGAAGAATTGGAGTCTGAGGCTTTTGATTGTTCCTCTTTCTCCTCCTTCGTTGTGTTCTCTTTCTTTGTTGCTTTCTCTATCTTTGGCTTTGGCTTTGGGATCTTATTCACCTTTGTTACCTATTATATTTCATATTCAATCCTAATGTCAAAAACCCTGTTCGCTCAAATTTACTGACCTTTCCCTTTTTTAATTTACACAAACTCTTTTCTTACCTTGTCTTGCAGAGTAAATACTTTGGCGTACACTTCAGTGGAGGTGAACACCGGTTTGCTCGACAAAGCAGTCCTGTGACAAGTTTGATGTTACCCTCTCTATCTGGAAAGTGTAATTTAGAGACCATAAAAAAATGAAAGAGAAGCAAAACTCACTTTTCCTGCTCAGCCACATTCTTATCCAACCAGCTTTTTACTTTCTCTGCTTCCTTTGTGACCTGAATCAAAAACACGCAAGTTAGCATGAGCTAACCATAACATTTTGAGCGAGCTTTGTGTTTTTCACTAATAAAATGAACAAAACACACCTCGTTGATTTTTTCTTTTGGAAGCCAAGTTTTGTTTGTCTCCCACTCTTTTGTGGTCTGCAGTGTGATTGACACTCAGTGGTTGGTTTATTTATAAAACTACAAAAATCATGTTATATGAGAGTACCTCTTTCAGTTCGCTTTCGTATTTTCGAGCGTATTCAACTGCTACCGGTCGTGCTGTAAGCTCCTCTGATCTGTACAAATATATAGCAAAATGGTTTGTAAGAACATTTTCAGGAAGCTCTTGTTCAGT